CCCAAACAGCCCCCTCCCCCCAGCCCCCCATTCACTCTAATCCGATTTCTCCCCATCATCCTCTTGGTGGGCATCCCCGTCATGGCCATTCTTGTCCTCCTTGGAGAGGTGAGCCTGGGAGCCCAAGGCCGAGAGAGAGAGGAGCCCAGTGCCAGCGCTGACAGCAGGGAGGGACGGGGGCTGGAGGCCCACGGGGAGCGGAGTCAGAGGCAGAGCAAGGGCTTGGAGCTGCGACAGCTGGTGAGCTTGAAGCTGCTGCTGTAGAGAATGATGGACAGACAGGAAGACAAGAGAGGGATATTGTCATTTTGAGTGCACTTGGACCCCAACCCAAGGGCCTGGGCTGCCCAGACAGACTCTGCCAGCAGCCAAGCTTAAACCAGGGACCTCAGGGTCCCGGAGAGCACTGTTCCCTCAGGGGAAGGAAAAAAAAAAAAAGAAAAAAAAAGAAAAAAGATTCTGGAGTCCTTGGGCTGTGACAGCCTCAAGAGAAGACTCAACAGCGTGTCCCCAGCATGACACACAGTCCCTAGCCCACAGGACATCTAGCCTCAGACTCTGGCATGCTCCAAGGATACAGTTAAAGCCCTCCCGACCTTGACCAAGAACAGAGGATGTTTTCATGTCAAGGAGCTGCTGCGGTTCCTGCTCAAAACCAAGGCTCCTCTCCTTGCACCCTGCTGGGACGGAGCAGGAATCCGTGCTCCCCTGCAAACCCATGCCCACGTCAGAACAAGTCTGGACAAAATTAGGCCCATGCCAGCAGGGCCAGCCCAGCACTCACAGCCTCATTCCAGCAGGGCTGCAGCACTGCACGTGGAGCAGCCTGCTCCCAGCATGCAGGGCACATCCCCAGGTCATGACTCCCCTGCCCAGCTCTGTCTCGAAGGCCAAAGGCACAGATTCACATCCCTCCAAACCCAAACTAAATATGCATCACGTACACGGATGATGGAGTTCAGTTCTGGCGCCGTAACCTGCTTGGCTCGTTCAATGGCTCCCAGGACTTGCTGCTGATGCTGGTGTGGAGAGAACAGAGGAATTCAGGGTCATTTCTGGTCATCACAGGGAAGGAGACCAGGGACCCAGCCCTGCTGGATCTGACACACACATGTACATTATCTCAGCTGCTAGCACCGAGATGTCAGGGCACAGAGGCAGGCTGGTTAACCCCACAGCTGGAGACACCTGCATGCACTCTTGTGACATGGACCTTACACCACTGAGGCCCAACAGTAGTGAGGAGCAGGGAAGGAGGCACGCTTGTCTCATTGCTGTTCCTCACCACAGGGTTAAGCAGGTCCCCTCTTACTCCCATCCTTGTCCTGCTCTGCACAGGCTCAGCAATCCTTGGCCAGAAGGACTCTAAGGTGGGCAGTGCCTCTCACCTACCCAGACCTGACACAAAACAAGACCCCCAACAAACAAAACAAGCCCTAAAATCAGAAGCTCTTGGGAAGCTCCCCACTCCTTGGGACACATCCCGGGTCCCACCTGCAGCAGCTGGAAGATGCTGCTGTGAAAGAGCCCGGCACGGCTGCTCCAAACACAGGCAGGGAAAACAGCTGTATCACGTACTTTAAAAAATAAAAAGACAACTGTACTTGCTCCTCTGAGAGCACAAGGTCTCCAAACACCAGGCCTGTCCACTGCACTCCAGCAAGTGGATTTTTCTTTCCATCTTGGCAGCAGGACAGGGTTGGGGAGGGGGAAGGCATTGCATTAAGATGCAAAAGGTTTAGTCATGGCTTAGTTATTAGGCAGCTCTGATCTGATCAGCAAGCCACTTTGTCTTCCCCGAGAACAGGTGGGTGAGAAAAAAAACACAGTCTGTCCCTCAACCCCACAGTTAACCCAGACCGAGAAACACAGCCTCCATCCCACAGCTAGTCCTGTCCAAGAAAACAACCACGAGAACAGCCATGGAGTTTAGCCTCTGTGGGGTTGTGTGGGGAGATGGACAGATATGGCACTAGAGGTGCTTCACCCTCCTCCTGCCTCAGGCAGGAACTCCCAAGCCCTCCCAATTAATTTCTCAGGGGAGTGGGAGGAGCCTATCAGCTGCATTAATTAATGAAACAGAGGAACCAGAACTTAAGGAGAAGCCATATGGAGGTATTCTTTTTAAACATCCCCCTCCCCCAATTAGCTGCCCAAAGCTCCCACTGCCCATGCAGAAGTGGCCAATGACTCAGGAATCATGGGCAGGAGAGAATAGAGCCCATCTTTGTCCACAGCCGCCAAGAAAGGGCATGGACAGGCACATTAGCCACCGCACAGCACCTGGGGGGGGGGGTGCTCAAAGGCCTCCAGGCCAAACTTGAAGGGCTTGTCCCCGCACAGGGGCTGAGAGCAAGTGACAAGGTTTCCCAGACCAGGTGCGAGGAGCTGCCCATGTGGGAAGGCCGTGGCGCCTCGCTGCCCCGCAGTGGGACAGGGGCCTCCGCTCCCCCCTACCAACGCGCCCCTGAGCCAGAGCTGAGGCCAAGCTGGGTGACTCACCTCTTGTGAAAGGTAGGGCAGAACCTGCGCACAAATCCCATTTAGCCTCTTGACGATTTCAGCCTAGAAGGTGGGAAGAATGGAGAGAAAAGGCATCAGGCGGCTTGGGACCGACTACCCTCAGCACAGACCGCCCCACCTTCCCCAGGTAGGGCCCGAGTCCCTGAACAGCCCTAAGAAAACACACTCCTCCCGGAAAGATGCTGGCAGTGTCCTGGTGCCATGGGGGGTCACCTCACCCCCAAGGCCCCTCCCTACATAGTTAAATGAATCAATGCTGCTGACCGCAAAGAGCCGATTTTCAATATTCTCTTCCCTCTCCCAGTCTCCGACATTCATTTAACGAAGTCGGGAGTGACCAGAGAGGAAACTTATTATAGACCCAGGTGGGGATGTGTTGAATTACATTTGCTATGCAGACACAGACACACATGCTGCTGCCGCCGAGACCCCCGCTCTGCCCCAGAGACCAGCTGCTCAGCCTCCTTGGACTCCCGCTCCGCAAAGGTAAGTGTTTGTCACTGCCAGCCTCCCTGTGGCTGAGGTGCAGGACTGGGGCTATTCAGGGAGACCACAGGGACCGGGCAGCTTCTTTGCTAGCCTCATACAAGCAGGTGGC